GTTAAGAGCACCGACTGCTCTTGCAGTGGATCCAGGGTCGAGTCCCAGCACCCCCATGTGTGGCTAATAACCATCTATAACTCCTGTTCCAGGGGATCCAATGCCCTCTCTGAACCCCGTGGGCATTGCACAACACGGGTACACTTACATGCCGGCAATACACTCATACACATAAAATAAAAACAATAAATAAAATATTTTTTTAAAAAGAATACTGGCTGCTGTTGCAGAGGACCCAGCATAGCAGTCAACAACCTTCCAGGGGGTCCAATGCCCTCTTCTGACCTCCATGGGCATTGCACACATGTGGTGCACTTACATACATGCAGGCAAAACACACATACATGTAAAATAAAAAATAAATCTATTTTTTTTCCTTATGCAGCAGATAGTGATTAACACAGAAACCCACAACTCTCCAATGTGCAAAAGACAAGAGACTTTGGAGAGCTCAACCCTGAATAGGACACCTATTTCAAACTTCTGTCTCCCAAGGCTCAGGGATCATTGTGAAAGAGGGAGCAAAAAGATTGTAAGAGCCAGAGATGGTGGATGACCACAAGGAAAGAGTTTCCCAGACAGCTGGTTGGTTACTCACATGAACTCACGGCAGTGGTGACAGCATGCATAAGCCCCATGCAAGCTCAAGTCAGTCCCCAGCATGGATGTGGGAAAGTAGGCAAGAGACCCCAAACCAAACTAAGGCACTTTCGACAACCTGAAGAGTTAGAGAGACACTCTCTTTAAGAATGGGACTCTTGGTAGGTTAACCAGGCTCCAGGGGATGAACCCACACTGAAGGACATTTGGGGACACAATTAGACTCTATAGGTCTCATTATATGTATACATAATAGAGTAAATTAAGTTGGATGGGGGCAGTAGGGGAAGGGGCCGATGGGAGAAGGGACACCACCAAATTATATCATATGAAAATTGAATAAATTCAATAAATATTTTTAAAATAAATTAAAACAAGATTAGAGCTGTGTCACTTGTCCTAACATCTGCTTCACCCTGTTTCAATCTTTGTGACTTTTTTCCTCATTCCATTCTGTTGTCCATATCCAGTAGCTAAAGATCTTACTGATAAAGGCCTGTACTTTCCTTCTTTGCACAGTTAATAGACAAGGAAATTCCTTTGTTTCATTATCGGTAACACATCACATTATACTATTTAAAGCAGTTATTTCCTTATGCCTCAGAAAACATTAGCTTTAATGGTTTCAATAAAGATTGTTAGGACACAGCCATTTAAAACTTCTGTTTTCCTTCTCTGATCTGTCTGCTTTCCACACTGGGTTCATAGATGTAAAAGAAAAAGAATATTACACTATGTAAAAACTGCCAGGATAATAATACCAGCAACACCGATTCATAGCATTTACTGGTCTCTTAAATGTTCCCAGAACAGTGCTCAGTCTTTTATAAACTTAACCTTCTCATTAACCCTCCCTGTTGCCCTAAGAGAAAAGTACTAACCCCATTTTTCAGGTAAGGAATCTGCATTTGAGAGAGGTTAAATATTTTGTCACTATGAAACAGAAGGAAAGTGAATAACTCCCCTTAACATACCCGGTAAGTCTGGGCAGATCACCAAAGGTGAAACTCACACCACAACCAAAGAAAACCAAACACACAAAAGTAGAGACTGTGGCTGGGAAGATGCTCAGTCAGCAAAGTACTTGCTGCACAAGCAAAGGACCTGAGTTTAGATCCTTAGAACTCATGTAAAAAAGCTAGATGCAAGGTATGCATCTATAATCCCAGTGCTGAGGGGAAGGAGACAGATGATTCCCTGTAGCTCACTGACCAGCCAATCTAGCCAATCAGTGAACTCCAGGTTCAGTGAGAGATTCTGTCTTAAAAACATGGTGGAGGGCATCTGAAGAAAACACCTGACTTGTATCTCTGGCTTCCACAAGTACATGAACAGACATGTACATATGAAAGAGAGAGAGAGAGAGAGAGAGAGAGAGAGAGAATCAACAAAACATGTAGGTGAATAGCCCAAATATACAAGCTAACACCAACCACAAATCTCCAAGGAAAATGTAAATCTTCATGACAGTGACTGTGTCAGTTAGTGCCAAGAGAGGACAACAAAAACATGAGCAACTGAAGAAAAACAAATAAATCAGACATCATCACAATTTAAAATTTTATTCATCAAAGAATATTCTGGAAGAAGTAAAAAGGCAACCTACAGAATGGAATATTTGAAAATCACATATCTAATATAACAAAGTCTGAAAATTCTACAACCCAACAACAAAAAGACAAACAACCCAAATAAAATTATGAGCAAGAGCTTTGACTAGACATGTCTCCAAAGACGGGTGTATGAACAGCAAACAGATGAAAGGATGGTCCCCATCTCTCATAAGTCACTGAAGAGAAACAAATCAAAACTGCAATGGAATGCGTTTTCTACCAGCAAGGGTGTCTATCCATAATCACAATAATATTTTTAAAACAGAAAATAAAAGTGTTGATAAGGAATAGAGAAATTTAAATCCTGGTATATTACTAGCAATAATGTAAAATGGTGAGATTTTATAGAAAAAAAGTTAAACTAAGATTGACATAAGACCCAGCAAATCCACAAATCCAAATCCTGGGTCCATACACAAAATAATTAGAACACAAATTCAAATATATTTATACACCAATGATCACTGCACAATTATTCTCAATAGCCAAAAAAAATAGAAGCTACCCAAATGTCTGTTTGGGGATGAATTAGTAAGCAAAATTTGCTACATCCAAACACTGGAGTATCATTTATCCATTAAAAAAATGAAGGTCTGTCAGGAGTGGTGGCACACGCCTTTAATCTTAGCACTTGGGAGGCAGAGGCAGGAAAATCTCTGTAAGTTCAAGGCCAGCCTGGTCCACATAGTGAGTTCCAGGCCAGCTGGGGATACAGAGAGACTCTGTCTCAAAAAGACCAAAAAAAAGGTCTAATTCATGCTACAACATCAGTAAACCTTGAAAACATTAGGGAAGTGCAGTATCCCACACACAGTGAAGGGACAATTGTAGGATTATGCTTAGATGATGTTCCTAGATTGGTCAGACTCGTGGAGACAGAGAGTAGAGATTACTA